TCGAGAATTAGGAAATTATTTCGAGGAACTTTGAGAAACTTAAAAAAAATATTTATCAAATTGCTAGGAGATATTTGAAAAGTTGAATTACATGATTATCATGTAATTCAACTTTTCAAACAAATAACATATCAAATGATAGCTGATTAGTTAGCGGAAGTGGTCAATTTTCTCAATAATTCAAGCGCTATAGTGAACGTGTAATCAATCCTTACAAGATGTGTGTTAACTGATTATCGCTTGATCCGTGTTAGGACTCGTACGTTAGAAGTTATTCCTTGGCTCGCATAATTTTCAACTTCTGAAGGATACCGTTCATATGGAAACGACAGCCAATTACCCATTTTGATAGCATAAAATAAAATTGTGGATTTATTCGAAGTTTTTTTTGGAAAATAAATATACCCCTCTCAATCTAATCTTTGAAGAGTATTTCCTAATTGAATGTTGTGTTTTTCATTCGTTTCCCGTCACCTCACTTCCAAGCTCAACAAATTTTTCGATTCTTGAACTTTTCTGATATAATACCAACTAGTGACTTCTTATCCGTATAAACTTTTCCGATTTCCTGTTCCTAATCATCTGCCAATTGTTAGCACTTGGGGCGTCTCGTGGGACCTCATTTAATTCACCTTGAAAGAAAACCCCGAACAGTCATTAATTTTTATACGAGTTCTGAATAATGAAGCGAACTAAATCCTGATAAATTGAATTTTCGACGTTTGCCGAACATTCTATTTTAGTTTGGAATTGTTATTTATAATCTTCTAGTCTATGGCGTGTTCAGATGCCAAATATTCTTTTTATATCCTTATGAATCGCATCCTGATTCTAATCCCCAAAAGGCAGGGGTATTAATCAAAGAAGAAATTGTCCGAAAAATACTGAGTTGGAGGTAACGATTAAATAAAAGTGATGGAAACTGCGAGAAGACAAAAGGCAACTTAGAAAAGTGGAAAAACTTTAGAGGAAGTAAATATTTCGGATGAACAAAATTATTGAAATTGGAAAAAACTACACTGCAGGAAGTCTGTCTTATAAAATACATATTTTAGGAAATTCACTTTACGATATCAATAAAACGAACACTTTGTAACCAGATTCAAAATAGAAATAAGTGAATTAGAGAACTTATATCACAATCGTGACTATTTATATATCAATTCGAAAAGTCTACCTATTCTTGTCAGTTCATTAAATAAGCACTATAGGAAAATCCTCAAGGCGCTCTAAAAGCGGTGCCTGTGTGAAAGTACAGATTAACATTGCATTTAAATCGCTGAAGATTGAATCCATTTAAAAAAAACCTTGTCAGAGAGTTTATTCCACATAAACGCAGTTCTCCAAATGAAAGAGTTGTCAAATAGTGAAGTTTGAGGTTTACTGATCTGAACCTCAAAATGATGAGCAGCCACAGTCCGTTGCGTATTTCTGATATGTACCGCTCTTGGTGGAATCGAATGTGCCAAGTCACTTGAACACTTCCTGTGAAAGTATGTACAAAAGAGAAACATCTCCAACCTTCCTTCGATGTTGCAGACTATCAAGGTGGCAAGTGATGTTCGCGTCTCCAATCAGGTAGATGGCTCTTTTCTGGATGGAATCCAGCAGCTTCAGGGTATACTTAGAGGTGGAGCTCCATACATGGGAACAATATTCCAAATAAGGTCTGATCTGAACTTTATAAAGCATCAAAAGTTGCTGAGGTGTGTACAGTTTTCTTGTTTGGAACAGTGTTCTAAGCTTTTGAGAAGCAGCCTTTGCAATTCTAGCGACATGATTGTACCAAGACATATTTGTGTCCATTTTAATCCCCAACAAACTCATCGAAGCAGAAAGCGGAATTGTTTGTCCTGACATTATTATATCCGGTTCGGAGAAATTAATCTTTTTGGAGAAAACTGATGCCTGAGATTTCGTGGCTTTGAAATGAACCTATTTACTTTCACCCCAATTCGAAATCACTTCTAGATCCTCATTCGGATATGCAACCTCTTGCTGTCGGTGAAGATGTGCATCCGCAGCCGATGTACTGGAATCCAAATGGAATGACGAGACAAGTGTGCTGTCATCAGCAAAGCAATATATTGGATTCTTGTTTTTTTCCAATAAATCGTTGATATACAATAAAAAGAGGGTAAGAATCAATATGGATCCCTGGGGAACATCAGCGTTTATGGTAAAAGTATTCGAGATATATCCATCGACGGCCACTTGCAGGGAACGTTCTTTCAGGAAGCTGGAAAACCATACACAAAAATGATCCGAAAAGCTATATCATCAAAGTTTGGCCAGCAAACACTCAGCCTTAGAAATATCAAGCGCTACAGCTCTTGACTCTCCATGTTTTTCGATTGCGTTATTCCAAATATGGGTGACATACGATACAAGGTCACCTGTTGATTTTTGTTTTCGAAAGCCATATTGATGATCGCTCAAGTTGTTAAAGCTTTCCAAATATTTGAGGATATGGTGGTTTACGGCTTTCTCCATGATTTGGAAAGACCTGTCATCGTTTTCTTGAATGATGCCTTCAATTCAACCTCAGTTATTACTATTATTGATAATCATTATCATTATAACATTGTTGTTGGCAGAGAGGAAACTATATAATCATGATTCATAAGATGAATAATTGTCAGAATATCTACACTATCTACAGGAAAGAACGGTCTTAGTTCTACCGTATCAATTGACTACGATGGCGACTGTTAAAAAATTTCTGGCCATTTTTTGTATACTTTTTTGAGCCTGAAGAAGGTTAATGCCTCATTGAAAGTACTATCTTTAGATGGCAGAGGGATGAATTGGGGGGAAATACCCGCCGTTCGATGAGACTGCGACAGAGTTCAATTTTTTACAGGTAAGCCAACTTATTAAGTTCATATTTTGTATTTGAACATTTTATGTTTTTGATAGTTAAAATAGTTAGTAATTTCCATATATGTCCATGGTTCATGCCTTAAAACTGGTATCTTTGATATCATTGAATAAAGTAGTCTATTAATAAGCTAGCGAGATTATGAAAAGTATATGATGGAGTTACTACTCAATTAGTATCTGAAAAAATGTTTCAATCAACTTTGGTACTCTATCGTACTATACAGTGCCTTTCTTTAATGTCCCCCCCTTTTATTTTTTGAACGGGTCAGCTCAAACAATTTAAATTTGGGATAATGAAATTAATGCATCAATACGTTTTTGAAGTTAAATTGACAGATGAAACTTTCAAGATGGCGACTGAGCGCCATCTGGAAAAAATTAAATGGAAAGGAGGGTCTTGTGACACATCATTTGCCTCCCCCCCTGTTTTTTCGACTTGGGAAAAAATTGGGAAAAGTTGGGAAATTTTGGGCCATGAAGATAGAAAAAAATAATAGTAAAAAAATGAATAAAAATTAAAAAAATTAAAATGAGAGAAAAGAAAAGGAGAGGTAATGAGAAGGGGGAAAGAACCAGGAGAAGGTTGGGATTTCCCAACGTGCATAACTTGAAGAGAATTCTGAGTTTTGAAATCTTCAAAGAAGTTTAATTACTCCCAAATAAGAGACCAGTCCTGAACAGTCCACAAATTTTGACATGACAATTTTACAAAATTCCCAACTTTTCGCTGTTTTTCCAATTTGGAAAAGTTGGGAAATTTCGGGCCGTGAAGATAGAAAAAATAATAGTAGACAATAATGAGCACAATATTATTTAAGTGTTGTTTCCTTTCATTTGTATTGAATATTCCTATACATGGTGGAAGACCAAGGACCTTGGTCCAAAGTAGAAATTGCAAGGCATCCTACCTCTCCGCAATATCTGTTTTAGTGATGAATGTAAATTTTTTTCAAACGGCAATGTTCACAGACAAAATTATCGTTATTGGAGTGACACCAACCCTCACGTTTTCCAGGAAACATACCCAATATCCAGAAGAAAATAACGTTTGGGCACGAATATTGTAGGACCTCTATTTATTGATCAAAATTCAACAGGGGAACTGTATTTGAATATGCTGGAAATTACTGTTGACCCTCTCATCAGTGAAATCGTATAAGCGAATCCTAATGAATTCGATATGGATATTGTATTCCAACAAGATGGAATATTACTCCACATTACTTCAGACAAGTAAGAAACTATTTGGATACTACTTTTCCCGGTCGTTGGATTGGCCGTCGAGGTCCTACAGAATGGCCAGCCCTCTCGCCAGATTTGACACCTTTGGACTTTTGTATGGGGCTATTTGAAGCAAAAGGTGTACGAACTGAACCTGCTTCAATATTGGATATATTGTAGAGAATAATAAATATTTGTAGAGATATTGACGTTACTGTGTTCGAAAATGTTCGGCGTGAAATATATGTCAAGAAGTTCAAGGCAACCATTTCGAGCATCTTCTGAACTGTCCTCAAGTTATTTCACCTTATATTATGTAGTTAAATGTCAATGTATTCAGGCAATTATTAAAAGTTCCGCCATTTTGTAGTAGTTGGAGATATCGACATTATATTCTAGGGTTGTGAAGCATTTGTCAGGGACTTCAAAAAGATGTTTCACAAAACCCCCCTTTCCATTAATTTTTTTCCCAGATGGCGTCCAGTCGCCATCTTGAAAGTTTCATTTGTCAATTTCACTTCAAAACAAAGTACTCCTGCATTTATTTCAGTATCCCAAATTTAAATTTTTTGAGTTGACCCGTTCAAAAAATAAAATGGGGGGGGGGCATTAAAGAAATACACTGTATACTAGTGCAGAGAGACGGACAAAATATTTCTATTTTTCAAATTATTTTTTATTAGGAACGCCCTCTTTTATTTGCTATTGTTCTCGGGATCTCAAAGAACATTTTAGCAACAGATCCCTTTTTTTCAACATTAATTACTAAGTTGCTAGATATATAGTCTTTTAGTTTCACAATATAACTTCTGGGTGAGAAAATAATACCTCTATCACTGGGTTCGTTTGGAGCTCTATTCTTTTATCTTTTGTGTGACAAGGAGAAGATGGCTCACCTGCAATTCTAAAGCCGGATCGTGTACAGCTTGAGCAATCCTGTGAGCATGTTGAAAACTGTCCAGAGCCTTATTGAAACCTGCTAACTCCAAGTAAACGGAACCTACTGTAAGATGAACATGTCCTGCAGTGGCGTGCTGCTCACATTCGTTGTAAAGAGAATGCCTGGCATATGCCAGAGCTCTGAAATAAAAACAGTTGAGGTATACCCAACAGCTAAGTATGTATCTGCAAGTGATTTACTATTTTTAATCATATAAAAAAGAAAGTTTTGGACGAATCATGAACAATACCTTTCATTACATCTCTTTAATATCATCAAAACATTATGAAAACGAATACACATTAAGTCATTGGCGTTGAAAGTTCTGTAAAACTAGAGTATCAGTATTTCTACATTCTAGCCAAGTTGCACTTAGGGTACTTATGATTTCAAAGATGTTAATATCAAAAAAAATATATAATCCAGTCACCTTAGTCCAGTCATATTGCTAGATATTTGCCTAATTTTGACTAAGATGACTGAACCGATACACGGGACCAGGACAGAATCACAGAAAAAGAAAAAGCAAAGTATGCTAGAAATGTAATTTCATCTCCATATATAGGCACTGAACCAACTATGGCGGTACCAAAATTTCAATTACACAATTTTTGTGAAAAATGTTGCATTGCATTACTAAAATACATTTCGAAATTTAAATATTCAATGTACCCACTACTCCTAAGATGGTGATTATAATTTTCCAATATAACAAACTTGATTGATCTGTTGGCAGTTAAGCCGTACTTACTACTATGTAGACATAAAAGCTGCTATAATTTGGAAATTCTGTCATATTGTACTCTGAGATAATAAAACGATGATATGGAGTATGGAGTGTTTCATTACATTAAATATTTGAATTCAATTGAGTAATCTAACTTAGGAGCTAGCGGGCAAAATTCATCAACTCAAGATGAATGTACATTTTTTCCCATTCCATTACTTACGAATGAAAAACGTAAATGAAAGATTTTTCTTGTTGTGAATATATGTGAATCATCGTTTCTCAAAGAGTTGATATGAAAAAAAAATTGCTGAAAAATCATTTCATAATTATTCTTTGAATCATTCTGACAGAAATGAAATCAACGATTTATCTTATGATTGCACTCATGAGTGCTTTTCCCCTCACTTCATTTGAGTACAATATTTCTAACAAAAAATATAATTTTCATGATACTGATCGTTTTTTTATTCATTGGATTCCGTATTATAAGAAACAACCAACCTTTCTAATCCCCCTAGTCGCTGATGAGCTCTAGCTAAGTTGAGATATGATTCTGCTCTCATATTGGGGCTATCTAATTCTTCGGATATAAAAAGTTGCCTATGAGCGTATTCCAAAGCGTCTCTGAAACGTAATTATTTCTTTCAGCGATAATCAGTCGGATGAGAGTAGGTGAAGCCAACCTGTATTTCCCCCAATCCATATAAGCTTGGTAAAGATATCCAAGAAGATTGAATTTGTCTTCCCTCTTTCGTATAGCCTTGAGCGCTGATTTCCATTTCCGTACCGCTTGTTGTTGTTTGTGTTGATTGTAGAGACGAAGTCCTTGATCAACCTTGAAAATGAAGTTTACAGAGATAAGCTTGATAAACTATGTATGAATCTGTAGCACCCTTGATGTGGCTGAATACGTCATCGATTTATGGCCATCAATTTTAACATACTGATACCTATGGAATAAGTGTGATCTAAAAAGTCGAAATAGGTTCAACAGTGTGAATAACTCCTCCATTCGTCAGGGGACATTTTCAGCATTGTTCAAACAAAGATACCTAATTTACTATCAGTTAATCTTGAAGTTTTGCGATACATATTGTTAATTTAATTTCATTTGTTTTTAGAGCTCCATGTCTCAATAAATATTTATTCTACTGTGTCGTGATATATACCTACTGATCGACAGAAAATTTGTGTGCTCTACGCATTGATGTTGTTACTTTTTTTTCAAATTTTTGGCAGTGATAGTGTTAATGAACGCACTAGTCGATGTTGATTTGCGAAATTGATTTGCTCAGGGAACATGATTCTCGGACCCAATGATCACTTACCCCACGGCGTGGGGAGTGGTCATTGGTTGATAATGCTGGCGCGCCCTCCCGAATGTATCGGGGCATCGGGGGATAGGGCCTGACCAGCGCACACTATGGGAAAAAATAATAATAATAACTTTATTGTCCAACAGTTACCCATTTACAGGACAATATAAAATTTTATTCACAATACTATAACTATAAACGGAAAATAAAATGAACAAAAAAAAAACTAATTCTCATTACCTACTTCAAGTACATGTTAGCAATTTTAATAATGTTATCAAGGTTAGTGAAGAATAAATCACCATGGGCACATGTGCTATTGAAATTTGTGCACATAACATATATTGGGAAATTGAGCATAATGTTAGTTCTTGTTCTGAGAGATCTACAAATGGATCGAGATCGTGAAGCTGGCCGCGGTACATTGAAGTTAATTTGTTCAAGAATTTCAGGACAGTCAATTCTCTCATTCACTAACTTGAATAAAAATATGAGCGACGCACATTTTCTGCGATGCTCTAAACTAAAAAGTTCCAAACGTTCATATATGACATCATTACTGATACCTCTCTCAGGGTAAGAAGCATCTATTCTGAAAATTATAAATTTACAAAACTTTATTTGAACTCTTTCAATGGCTATGTTATGAATCCCATAGAATGGACTCCAGACGATACTTGCATATTCTATCTTCAAACGTACGTAGGTGAAATACAACAGCTTCATGGCTTTAATATTATGAAAGTTTCTGCAATTTCTAGCAATGAAACCATAAGCTCTGAAAGATTCTGAAACATTTCGTGAAATATGTCTACCAAATGTTAATTTATGATCGAATATTACCCCTAGGTCTTTGACCTCATTACATCTCAGCAGATCTGAATCCTGTATTACATAAGGGAATGTATAAATCTCTTTTTTCGACTATAACTCACTACTTTACATTTCTCCACATTGAGTTTCAATTTATTATTTACACCAAGCAACAAGAAATTGTAATTATATGAAAATAATTTCAAGTCATCTGCGAAGCATAACCGCTCACAAGCTAAACTTTCAAAAAAGTCATTAATAAACAATAAAAACAAAGAGGACCTAGGTTGGCGCCCTGAGGCACACCAGAAGAAGCTATATATGTTCTAGATTTATAACCGTTATAGGACACGAATTGTTTTCTACATGTCAGATAGGCTTGCATTAGCTGACAGGCAGTATTTGAAAAACCAAAACTCATCAGTTTATCGAGTAAGACACCATGATAAATTTTATCAAATGCTTTAACATCAACTTGGCCATTGTTATCTAATGCCTCGGAAATAAATTGAGTAATAATGACTAGATTTGTAACAGTAAAACGCTTAGTAACAAATCCATGTTGATGTTGAGATGTCGAGCTTACGATTTCAACTGACCTCTCTGTAAATTTAGATCAGTAGCGAGAGCTTCTCAACTCTCCAACTCCTGATCCAATAACTGAACCTAAAAAAAAGTTTGGTGGTGCAGCCAGGAAACGACTGATTCGACTCCTCAAGAGCGGGGTACCGTATGAAACCGCTTTGCATCAAATTCTTGAGCGGCGTACGCAGAATCTGTCTCAGGTGGAGGAACAAACCCCCCAGGTTAGCAAACGTTTGCGCTCAAGTGATTATTCACCAAAACCAGAGGCGAAAAACCTCTGTACGGTTGAATCCAAGGCATCGTCAGGTGTAGCTGACGTGCAAAAACCGTCATATGGGAAGGTTGTCGCGGGTATCAAGGTGGGAATCTTGCACATTGACTATCTGACTACCTCATTTACGATGAAACAGCAGAGCATATACTTTGTGCCTGCCCCGATGGGGACCGAATCAGGTTTTTCGAGTTCAGCAGAGCCATACTCTTACCATCTGACCTGAAAGACCACTCACCATACAAACTAATTGGTTTCGTTAAGAAGCTGCGATTTTTGATGGTTTAAAACATATTGGAAAAGCCAAAAAGCTCGAAAAATGGATGCCCCACGATTTGAACGATCGACAGAGATTGTCAAGTTCCGATGCCTGTTCTTCTTTGCATTTGCGAAACAATAACGATCCCCTGTTTTGGATCGTATAGTCGTGTGTGATGAAAAGAAGTTTGGACACGGTGTCGAACTGCGGTAATTCAATACAAAGCTGTTTATCAGTATTATATTCACGTAATCACTGATTGAATTTTTCAATTATCTTATATACTTACTTGTTATTTATTGAATTCGAAATTCTTACCAGCGTCCAAATATATTTTATTAAAGGTTAACCTATCGGTAAATAATCTAATCCAATTTTTATATTTGTATGAAAAACAAATATTCCTTTTTTTAAAGGTCAATATTAATGAACTAACATCGCATGCTAACGTACCACATGACACCGAAGTAAGCTTTAGACAAAACTTCACAGTGAAAGTCACAGACAGCTATGCTGCACTAGGAGCATTATTGAATCCAAGAGTGATATCGAATGTGGTCTGGGAATGTTTGAAGGTCCAAAGAAACTGACGAACTGAAGTAGATTGACTTCAAACTGAGAGCCACGACACTTACAGGCATCGACAACTTTGATGACTGGACAATATTGGCCCTAACCAAACAATACACAGTAAATCACATGAAAAAAATTTGTAAAGGGAGAAAATAACTGAAAAACTGCTTTAACAAAATAGGAATCGGTTCATAACAATTACAGAGTTATTCAGGGCACCTGAACAAATTAAGGGTGTATATAACACAAGCGGATGGTTCAGTTGCAACAACAGCCATAGAAAAAGCAAATCTACTAGCTGAACAATTTGGGTCACACTCCACAGTCGATTTTCTGGAAAAGTCACCATCCACTATTCCCACACTAGAATCCACAATGCCGGAAATTACTTTTCGACAACGTCTAGTCACGCGAATTTTGAAAGAGCTCAATATCAACAAGGCGTCTGGTCCTGATGAAGAGCTAGTCATCGTACTTAAAAAAGTGTGCAAATGAACTAACACCAGTATTTTGCAGACTTTTCTTTCTGTCTTTCAAAGAAGGGGTTTTTCCTGCTCGCGTTCAGCCTATTTCCAGAAAGGACAAAAAAACTCTTCCAAATAACTGTAGACTAGTCGTTTTGCTATCAGTGACATCAAAAATCATGGAGAGGACCGTAAATCACCATATCCCCAAATATTTGGAGGACTTAAACATCTTGAGCGATCATCATATGGCTTTCGGAAAGATCAACAGGCGGTCTGCTATCGTATGTCACCCATATTTGGAAAAACGCAATCGAGGAACATAGGGAATCAAGAGCTATTGCGCTCGATATTTCTAAGGCCTTTGATAGAGTGTGGCATGGGTGTTTGCTGTCCAAACTTCAATGCTATGACTTGTTGAATCATTCCTGTGTATGGCTCTCCAGCTTCCTGAAAAACGTTCCCTGCAAGTGGCCGTCGATACTTTTGCCATCAACGCTGGTGTTCCCCAGGAATCCATATTGTCTCCAATCCTCACCAATTCAGCAACTTTTGATGCTTTATAAAGCTCAGATCAGACCTTATTTGGAGTATTATTCTCATGCATGGAGCTCCGCCCCTAAGCATACTCTGAAGCTGTTGGATTCAATTCAGAAAAGAGCCATCTGCCTGATTGGAGACGCGAATATCATTTGCAACCTTGATAGTCTGGAACATCGAAGAAAGGTTGGAAATTTGTCTCTCTTCCATTGATACTTACACGGGAAATGTTCAAGTGACTTGGCACATTTGATCCCACCAAGAGGGGTACATAACAGAAATACGCGACAGCTTGTGGCTACTCATCGTTTCGAGGTTCAACTCAGTACACCTCGAATTTCACTGTTTAAGAACTCTTTCATTTGGAGAACTGCGTTTAACTGAAATAAACTTCCTGAGAACGTTTTTCCAAATGGATTTAATCTTCAGCGATTTAAATCCAATGTGAATCGCTACTTTCGCAGAGGCACCGCTCTTAGAGCGCCTTGAGAATTTTCCTGTAGTGCTTGGGTTCTGTCCTTGAGAACAAAAAATAAAAAAAAAAACTGGGGCTTTAGTTGCGAACATTGCAGACCATGTTTCATGCGAATATGAGACAGTTTATGACTAACTCAAATTATTTTCAGTATAATCCAGCAAATGACTTGTACATATAGAGAACACGATTGTTGGAATATGTGTCTTGATAAATACAATAAGCCCAAGTGAGGCAATTAACAAAAACATCTTTTGAAATGACATTTTGATTAAATAAAGAACTGAAATTACGAAAAAATGGATCGTGAACAAGTGTACTGAAACTCTACAGAAATGATCAGCAAGAGAAAAAGATGTAAAAATCAATTATTGCTATGCACATTCAAACTTCTTTTATATCATTATCTTTCTACGAACCTTTCTTTTGGCAAAACTATGGTGTATTCTTGCTCTACATGCCTGGAAACATCCCCAGGTGAATCGTTGAGGGCGAGGAGTTCGGACTTCGGTATAAGTATCTCTGTGTAAGCTGGAATAAGAGTTGTTCCATGGCCAAACCTGTTCGAGGCCATCCAAAGGATGACGAGAACCATCAGGTGAGGAGAGTAACTTTGTAGCAGATAGTTGATGACTAACGCCAACACTGAAATTACTGAAAATGAAAGTGATAATAATAATAAAAGTAGTGCTGATGCTTTCGATATTTCAATGTTGAAACTGCAATGCTAGAATAACGGAGTGAGTATCGCTCATTGGAAGTTCGATTGACCGTTATACCAAGTTTCAGCAACATATAAATATAGCCTAAGTTCATGAGCGAACCAGTACACCTTTGATCGTGGAAGTGTTAACACGAACCTCTGAAGATGCTAAGCACTCACGACAGCGAAACGTCAGGAAGAAATTCCATCACACGACAACGTAAAGACTCGCAAAATGAACTGATTATTTGAAATTCAGTCAGCTTCAATACGTCACAATGAGGTTGTTTGAAAGAAACAGTTCCAAAATGTAAATATTTCAAAAAAATTATTTAAGAAAATATAGATTATACATTATTACCCATTTGGGTTCTTTGACAGTGGCATATTTATGAATTGATTACTTTTTTCAAAGATTCGAAAATACGACTCAAAATCACTTATACTTCAATATCGCTTCCTATAATTATGTTATCGTTACCTTAGTCTTTACCAGATTGGACTGATGGCTGTTTGCAACCAGCCCTTAGTAATAGAAGAATCTCAAAAAATTTTCGAAGAGTTCCCCTCTTTATTGAACTCTAATAAGAATTATTTATAGTCACTTGCGGAACGCACGAGACATACGGTAGGCTGATTCATTTGTTGATCACCCGGGCGAATCGAAACATTATTTATGATTAGTGATTAGCCAATAATATTTAGTAAACTGGTCGACACTATCTTAGTTTTTTCAGTATTTCTGAGAGAAGTATTGGTTTATTCTCCACCTGGCATAATATGTATATCCCTTTGGTTGTACGTCTGCTTTGGATGTGGTTTTGCTAATGATTCTGTTAACGACGTAAGTGATTTATATGTTGATTAAGCAAGGTGAAAATCCATAGAATTCGACTGATTTCCTGTGCAATCTACGCCCTTTTGCGAGAGCCTTTCGAAAACCCCTTGCAGGGTACCTTTGCACCCGATTGTTGAACAACAGAAACAGAATCTGTATCAGAGAAAACAAACCTTCCCTGAGCATGCCAGCAAACGTTTACGCTCAATGGATGATTTACCCAAACCAGAGCTAAAAAGACCTGCATGGCTGAATCAAGTGTATCATTATTTCTTGTAACTCTAACATCCGACCACCTCAATATCGAGCAATCAACTGGAATCCCTCCAGTGAGCAATTATGGCTGCCGTAGAGAATATTCCTAAAATGCTTCATGGGAGATCCAAGCAACACAAATGTATTTTACTGGAGTTCAATCTCAACATCAAACTGTTACTTTAATACCTCGACACGATCACCAAGTGATCATCTTCAAGAGAAAGATTACTATACCAAATGTTCCAAACAATGCACCCACCACAAGAACATAAATGTGTTACATATCTATGAAGGTAGTTGCAGACTCACCGCCGATCAGGTCCTTACTAGATCGAGGAAATATACCGCGGTTTTTTAACATCGGAGTGGAGTATTCATCCCGAGAAAAATCGGTATAAATATACCGGTATAAAAAAAATAAATATAAAAATGATATAGTAAAGCACATTCTCTGTCTCTACCCCGCCGAACACTCGATCAGGTTTCCAGCATGTGGCAGATTCCCACTCTTGCCAGCTAAACTGAAAGATAACTTACCAAATAAAGTAATCGGCTTTGTTAGGAAGCTGTATTTATTTGGTCGAGTTCTAGAAGGCATAAGCCACAATAAATCGTTACAGGTTGTAGCATTTACCTACCGACCCGTGAAACCTGTAGTTGTTGCCATATCAAGGATTTTATAAAAATTATATCAATATATCAAATAAAGGGAAGATTATGACTTCCATTATTTACTTAGGTATTCTAAGGGCAACCTGATTAAAATGAACCAGGGTTTTCGTACCAATCTCGTTTAATATTTTTCAGTTAATTACCAATTTTGTCATCAGAAGACGGATTCAACAGAATATAATTTTCAATTATGTCGGATCATCAAGCAGATATTCTAAATGTATCGATTCAATCATTTCATCATATTCATGATTGAAAACATGCCGCTTTACTGAAAAAAAATGTACAAACATTAAATTGGTCTTTTCATTGAAAAAATACTTCTTTGGTCTTTTCTTCAGGAGAAAGTAATTCCCATTTGACTAATATAATAGTTCAGACAAGAACCACAAGTCGACTTAGATATTCCTTATATATCCGACAGTGAAAATATGTCTTTATTTTTATTTTTTTTTAAATTATCATTTATTCTATATGCTACGTGCATGCATTTATGTCCCATAAAACGAGCAGCGATATTTTGGAAGGTTCGCCAAAGTAGGTCCCTCGTTTCTTGAAATTGAATAGACCCGGCTCATAGCTTCTTTTTGAAGTTATTTAAGAAAAAATAAAGTCAGTAAAATCTACATCGTTATAGTGTTGACAACAATTTGCTTCAATAAAGGGAAATTTACAAACTACAACTGAAACCCAGGTCCAGCTTACGCCAGAAAATGAGGGCAGGCATCAAAAACAATGACCTACTTTGGCGAGTCTACCAAAACTATCGTTTTGACAATTTTTCTTAAAACTTTATTGTTGGATAGCTCAGAATATATAAATTAATATGTAGTGCTTTATATTGGTCAAACCAAGGGAAATTTCCCCAAAAGATTAAAAGACAATAAAATGTAGAGACCAATTCAACATTTGCAAAAAAATCAATAGATTGTATTGAATTTGTTGTCTCACAATAAAATTATTGTTCACTTAAATGAGTTTGTTGTTAGAATGGATAGAATTAATATTCATCAAGTATTTACAGGAGGTCATTATACTTTTATTTAATAAGCATTATGCACAGTTTACTTCAATGGTTAAAAACATTTGAAGAAAAGCAACTGTATAATAAAGCACATGTTGCAGTTTTGTAGAAGGTTTTGTCAAAATCTCACCACGAAGTGTCGGATAACTACATTTATATCAATATATCATGTCATCAAGCATCGATCAATTCCATCACAGAACTAGGTTAAATATACTTTACTTCTTCTATTTAACGAATATAATATAATTTTGCAATCGAACATCTAGCTTGTGCCACCCTGTATTAATTCATAATTGAAAAAACTCATGATGTTTCCTCCTACTTTAGGAAATCCATGGTGGTTGAACTGATACTGGGCTATATAAGAAATTTCACATACCTGATATAATCATGATGAGAATTCAAAGACTCCCAAGACATTTTACGAAATCAAAACAGTGACATCTTTTCCAAAATGAGCCCGTCATTCAATTTCGTGAAAAAAATACCGCTCGAATTCCACAGCAGTCGGGAAATCTTCATTATGAAGCTGCACATTTTTTCCATTTGAACTATGAAATACCTGAGAAAAAATTTATTCAATATCGATGAATATGCTCAAACTGAAATTCGAAGGGGCTTTCCACGAATCTCACAAAAACCCGCACAAAATGTATCAAAATGTATCTACACCGTATAACACACCCCTTTCGCAACATCCAACCACCCCTAATCAGTATCTGGACCAAATTCAGAGCACGAGTCCGTATGGAATCGTTTATGATCGGCCACTGTCGGGGCCGAGGATTGAAAGAGCCGTTCGGAGCAAAATCGAAATTGGGAGGTGTTGCGGTAAAAGCACGTGTTCAGTTATGATATTCGAGTTTTCATACCTTCCCGTGGAAACACGGGTTATCGAATTCATAAATCTACCGTGGATTATTTATAGGTTCCCAATGAAATTTTAAATTTATTGCGTCCCGTACCGAACGCGTTTTTATGTGGAAAATCGTGAAAAATGACTGAAAAAAAAAGTTACCTTCGATATTTCAGAAGTCAGTTTACAATCTCTATTGTCTATTCAAAAAAGAGCAGAAAGAATGATTTTGATCAAATATTTAGTGGCAGTTAAGAATGAAAACAAATCAGAATAAATGGCAAACAGCTCCTAACCAAGTATTTATAACAAGGTATATTATTTAGCACCCCACGCTGTTTCACAACCAAATAATTTTTTGTGAATAGATTTATTCTGATTTCAGACTTATTAAAAGTCATTAGTTACATCAAGCCATAGGATTTATTATCGATGTTGAACACAATCTTGTACCGCATATAAGTGTACAAATACTAAAATTAGTCAAAATCGAGTCCAATGGAGTCGGTTACAGACAAACAAACATACAAGTGAAGCTGAAAAAAGCGTAATAATAAATATAGTTGAAAAAACTAAAAAATACGCTTTTAAAGAACATCGAACTGAAAATTTAAAAATATTTTTTTTAAATAAACTTAAAACAATAACGAACGAAAAATACTAGTATTATTGTGGAAAAAGCGACAGGCGCACAATAATACTATTATTTTTCGTTCGTTATTGTTTCAAGCTCATTAACCCTTTGGAGTCTGATTTATTTTTCTTATACTTGTGATATATCTCAGGTCAAATTTTATGTAAATGTGGATACTATATCAAGAAATGTTAGTTTTATGAATGCAGGTTACGCCCTTTTTTCGCTAAGGGCCGGGACATATGTGTCCCAAACCCAAAAAAAGTTTCCAAACTTTCCAAATTTTGATAACGAGAACATGCAACGGTTTCTTGGGCCAGGACAGGTGCTGAAATACGTAGATTAGCTTTACATTATAGATAATATTATAGATCAATCAGCTGTATATTGTTGACCATTGATATTTTCCGATTCCGGAGAGGGAGGCTGAAAATCAGCTACCAAGCCCAAGGCAGCAGGCGCGCAAAGGAGGGTTACAAATAAGGCAGCATATTCGCGTGTTGATAAAAAAAATCCTTTTTTCAAATGAAGAAACACATGTAAAGTGAGTTCGAATTATATCAAGGAGGTTACGTACAGCGCCATCTGCCCGCGAATAGATCAAGCAATAATGTCGATATATGAAGAGGGTTACGTGCAGCGCCATCTGCCCGCGAATAGATCAAGCAATAATGTCGATAATTCTGTCAAATACAGATCCCGAGCTTGAGTGTAACAAACAAACATACATGCAAAAATTCCATGTGAACTAATATAAAGCGTGTAAAAAGTATGAAGGAGTATGCTACAGTTATCCCAAAAAGCAAGGATGTCCAAATCAAAATTCAAGGCAATGTTGTGATGTCCGAATGGGTTCCAGAGGGTCAGACTGTCAACCAGACTTACTATTTGTCACTTTTGGCAACACTGCGGGAACGAGTTCGCAAGAAACGGCCCGAGTTGTGGAATAACAACTCGTGGATTTTGCACCAGGACAACGCACCTGCCGATAACACGCTATCTGTGAAGCGGTATTTGGCTGATAAACGCACTCCAGTGCTCGAACAC